CAAAGCAGATTTAAACCCTAGATTTTTCTAGCTGTTTGGGCATCATCTGGCATAACAAAGTCAGCTATCGCTGACTTGTCAGCTATCGCTGACTTTGTTAGCTATCGCTCTTCAGGTAGCTAACAATAAAACTCCATTTTCCTGCTGGGGATGGAGAGCACGACTGATAGTGACTAACAGCAAATTCTACAGCCTTGTAACAGAGATTTTCTTTAAAGAGTTTTTTAGAGTTCTAAATAATATCTGTCAATCAGAAGCCTTCAGATACCTAATACCAGTCAGGCTTTAGGCATGACAGCATATAATTAATATGATTTAACAAAAGCTACCACTCTGTATTTTTCAATTTGCAGAATTATGTAGTTTACCAAACAAGCATTGGTCTTGGTATTTCTGCTCTAGCTTATTTGGTTTTTTTAATTTTAACTAGCTTTGTTCCAAGTTTTTGCTCATTTCTAATTCACCATTTGGATGTGAAGTACAAGCAAAGGGCAAGAGTTAAAATCGATCAGCTATTTAGATTATGCTAAAGTAAACATTGCTAGTAAACTGTAAACTATTACTCTCTTGTAAGGGATGTACAGTAAAAAAGATAAAAGCAAGTGGAAAATTTCTACAATGGAAAATTTTGCATAATGCATCCTCAAATTTGCACTTAAGGAAGAGGTATTTGTATATGAAGTCAACATTGTAAAAATCATCTTACAAAACAGCCAGGTACAAGATTTGTCTGATAAAACTGACATGATTTCACTGAGTTAAAGTCAGCGAAAGGGTACCCATGTATTTAATGGGTGATTGGATGAGGGCACAGGACACCATTCGAACAAAAAAAATGCAAATTTAATATACCATTATTGTATGTAGAAGGTAAGAGTGGGTTTTTCTGTATGATTTTTAATAAATCATTTTTACTTTTGGGGTAAAAATATTGGGGTCTGGCATGTATTTATTTTTACCAGAGGTAGGTGGATGTTGGAAAATATTTGCTGAGGCAATCATTATGTATTACTTCAACAACCCTGATCACCTCCTCTTTATGTATATATTTGTAAGTATTTTCCTGGTAGAAGTATTCATGGAAAGACTGGAAATTTTAAGTAAACATTGAAAAAAATTTCAGATGGAGATAATGTGTATCCTTTCCTACCAGTAACTTGTAGCACTCCTTATGAAGAAAAAGACTTGCCTTGCATTTTTTACTAAAGCTATCAGCATTAGCCCTCTGTGACTGACATGTCCATTGCAGGTAACCAACAACTATCTCTAGCTTGAGATACTTTCCACAAATTAGCTCAATCTCTGGCACATGTTTTTAAGTGATGGCTTTACAGGAAAGTTAGAAAGGCCTCTTGAAGGTCTTGGAGTAGAGGAATGACATTGCAATACACGTTAAAGGGCCTGCTTCCACTGTGACTAGATTTGAGATCAGTATCTGGAAACTCATTTAACAGCCATTCTAACGCTATATTTTTCTTAGAATGCAAATCCATCATTTGGGTTAAATTCATTCATTCTATTTGCATTGCTCTTGATAGGGTTACGGAGGGAACAACGCATTTTAGCAACAACTTGCTTGGTATTTGTTAGAAAGGGAAAAGAATGCTTATGCAGGAAAAATACTTTAAAAAAAAGATGCTGTAATGTATGTAATAACAAGCTAAAATTGATTATATATAATCTCAAATTTATTGTCTTAAAATACTGTATATTATCGAAATATGACACAAACGCGCTCTTGGAAGAGGGAAGTGCGAAATACATGAATGATAGTATTGCATTCAGAGGCATTTTAAACAGATAATTTCAGTATATTTAGTCACATCTACAGGTGGTCCAATTTTAAAATACTACCTGAAATTATAGGAAACATGGTGGATTTTGCAAATAATTGTTGATGTTTTCATTTTTTTCCATTAAAATGGACTTTCACATACTTTAATAAAAATAAGTGATAATTTTTGTTTGCCAAGAAGCACCTTAGTTTTAAAACATCATAATACAGATCTTTTAAACTTGTTTTTTTCAGAAAAATTTTGGACTTTTAACCAAAAAACTTTAAGTGAAAAGTCATCTTTCATCTAAAAATTGGCCAAAGAAAACATGATATATTCATCTAGGTTTGCCATCCACTTTTATCAATCAACTTTTATTATAATGCTTCTGAAATACCTTATTAGTGATACAGATACTGTGTTCACTGTTAGACCAGTAGGGCCTGGTACTGTAACTTGCATAACAGATCCTTACCTCCTAACGGCAATTGTGATGATTTTTTTGATCTTGCTGCAAGGAATGTGCTAAAATGTTTTCTCTTGAGATGTCTAGATCTAAGTGCATTGGGAAGGATATGTTTCTGATGCTTATAATCAAAAGCAACTTCAAATAATGTGGAAATAGGCATAGAGGTATGTTAGTTTTACATCAAAAGTCTTTCAGACTTTTTTGAGGAAAAACTCATTTCTCGGGGCAAATTCTGAACAACTTTGTCTTTAGAATACCTGTGAAATTATTTTAATTGCAATGCTGCTGTTGCTGATTGAGTAAGATTCTTTCACGCTACTTATTTTCATTAGAGAAGCGTACATGCTTCTTGATTGACTGTATACCACTGGCACTCTCTCCTCTTTCAGTTCTCCTCCTTCTTCACGTTTCTCTGGAAAGGGCTCAAGTTTGTTAAGCTACATGTAGATAACGCTCACATAAATGTATTTTTGAGTAAACAGAAGCTTTAAAAACAGAAATCCAGGTTTATTTTGATGTAACTAGAACGTGATTTTCTATCGCTGGTAAAAGATTAATCAGTTATGAATATTCTTTAAAGATAGTCCAAGTAACGGGTCCAAGTGGATATTTACTAGAAAGTACAATCTTGTGGTCTGATTTAATGCCATTTCTTTTTTGTCTTGTTTTAAATTCAAGTGGTGAAGAACAACATTTGAAGGATTAGAGATGTGAAATGGGGCATGACTGGCAGGAGAGGAGAAGTAGAACGTGTGCAAGCGCTGGAGAGGACATAATTTGTCATTTATGAAGAGTGATTTATAGGCTTGCAGCTCCTGGATAAACAGAGAAGTACATGCATGTAGATTGCTGCTTTTCTCTAAAGTGAAGGTGTTGAGATCTCTGACACCAGTTTGTGGACAACAGTAATCTGAAAGAAAGGATTTAGATACATAGTTTCAACAAGCATTAATAGCTGTGTACAAAATTGGTCCTTTTGCATAGTTTCAACGCAAGGTCCTGAGTGCTTGTTCACTCTAGTTGAGTAAATGTATGCACAATATGCCTATGTAGCATTTTTTTGTACATTTGAGAGGAAACAGACTTGTTCCTCCGCCTTTGTGTCAAAAGGCGTAGGCTTCAGA